GAGGACGCGACCCACAAGACAGAACTCTGGCTTTCCTGTTCCATGCTACAGGACTGTACTCCTCTCGCTTTATGACTGGCGAAAATGCAATATGAAGACAGAGTCAGAGCCCAGCACTGACGACCCACAGGACATCATTCCTCAACAAGGTGGTAACAGCAAATGCTGCCCGAGACACTCAACGCGGCGTCGGACGCTGCTGAACCGCACTTGTACGGCTCATGGACTTCCAGGCTTCTTTCCAGCCACTGAAGAAACAATCCAAGGAGGGCTGAGCCAATGAAGATCCTCGGGGAAAAACACAGATGACAGGGGTGCTTCTCCGACTAAATAAAGGCGCAGGGGAATGTCTCCTCACCCAGGCCCTGTGGCCAACAGGACCAGCTCCTACTTCAAAGCCCAGACGACCTCACGCGTCCTCCCCATCATCATGATCTGAGAACCTTTCTGCATTCTCATGAGGGAACCAAAAACACAGCCTCTTTCCTTTTTCCTTGGGGGTACCCACAACTTAAAGATGTTCTTTAAAGAATTCAATTAACCTCGGATACACTGGGAACTGTTAGAGCTGAAGGTACTCTCTGTGGCGCCCCAAATTTACAATGCCTTCCAATGCTCCGCCCATTAAGAACCAAATGAGCAAAATCAGCCTTAAAATACTCAAACTTGGGGGGCACGTAGGGGGTGCAGTCAGAACAGCGTCCGATTCTTGATTTCAGCTCAGGTTGCGATCTCAGGGTTTTGAGTTCAAGTCCCACATAGGACTCAGCGCTCAGCACGGAGTCTGCTTCTCCCTCTCCCTCTGCTCATGTGCTCTTGCTCAAATAAGTAAATAAAAAAAAAAAAAAAAAACCAACCTCAAACTTGGATTGGAAACAATGGTTAAGGAGAGGCCAATAAAAATAATGCAATGAAAAGGTTTACTAACCACAAAGGGAGAAAACCTTAGAAACGTCACCATTAAAACAGAGCTGAGCACACACCCCCCATCACACTGCAGCCTCCCAGGATGAAGAGAGCCTCCCGTCACCGGAGTCCCCCGAGACTACAGTTCCTGACAACAGTGCAATTGGATGGGAAAGGCTCTGACACCTCAAAGATATGCAGTGTCCAGACACTCCTCTTCTGCCTTCTCTTTGCAAAAATCATACAGGACTGTCACCAGAGAGAAAACTGCAGGCCAACGAGGCCCTGATGGAGAGGTTGAGCCAGATTATTCCTTAGTACCGTTCTCCCCACGGCTAAGCCTCAAGGTCTGTTTGGGTGCTCCCCTTCTCCTGGTCCAGTCCGTTAGCTACTCTCTCGTTGATTCTGCGCCTCCCCACCATCCAGCTGCATGGACGCTGCGATGGGCACACACTCAGCCTCCCTCACCAGTCTGCGTCTGCTAGAACCCTGGACTGGTTGTCCCCTTGTCCTCGTGCAGCCCAGAGATCTACCTGGTATCTGGCGTCCACAGCTTAGTGAGCAAAGCTCCTCAAAGAGGAGCCAGACGGACCCCCTGGAGAGCACACTGTGCTCTGCAGTACGAGACGTGGTAAGCCCACATGTCTCTCACGTGAAGAACAAACCATCAGAACAGGGGTGAACATTTGCTCTGTCATCACTAACCTCCATAACATCATGAATGCTGCTTTGAAAAGCAGCTTAATCAGGATTCAAAGTGTGAACCGAATGGCTACCCCGAACCACCACGCTGAACTGGGTGATTTCTTACCTATTTCCTCTGTACTTTTAATACTAAAATGAGGCGAAAAGAGAATAGGGGGATATTTAAAGGTCTTCTATTTTCATACCCATTACAAAAAAAAAAAGATTAAAAAAGTTGGTTAGATGGCGATTCACAGACCTGTACCCATGGGGCTAATAATACATTATATGTTTATTAAAAAATTTAAAAATTTTTTTTAAAAAGTTGGTTAGAATCTTGATTGCCTAAATGATTTTTACAACAATTTTCCTAGTTTTAGAAAGGCTACCCTAAACCAAAGAATTGGGAGTGCTGTTTGAGTCAAAGACATTCAGGGGAAGACAAGGTCAATTTATACAGCAATCTGAAATGGTGGTTACCTATGGTTTTATCAAATTTTAGGTTCAAAATTAAGTTGCTTTTTCTTCCAGAGAAAGAAAAATATCAGACATTTGTTGGAGTTCTGGGTCATCCGTGGCTTCTCCCTACAGGCCTGGATACACATTTTATGGGAAGAGAAAAAAGGAGCACAAAGACAAAGAAAAAAGGTGGAGTAGGGAAGAAGCAGCTACTAGATCGGACGTCGTAAAGACGGAGTGCTAACTCTCCCTTCACCTCGCCATCCGAGGGCGGTCCACGGCTAATGCACGACAGCCATGTCAGTAAGGGCACCAGGTAGTTGCCACCACACACAGAGAAGCACCTGTGAGCAAAGCTTCTGACTTCAAGGGGCTCTGGAAGCAGTGTGAGTGGGGGCGGGGAGTGAGACAGGTGGACACAGAGTCTATTAAGCAAAGAAAATGGGTCTAACTGTATTCTCTGTGTGTATACAGAAGGCATTTAATTCTCAGATGTTTAAAATGTGTTGGATGAGGGAGGAAAATGCATGAGGAAAAAACCCATAAACATGCAAATTCCTTAGTGTAGGAGGAGCAGTAGTGACGTTTGATACACACAGCCTGCTGACCCCCCAGAACGCTGACTGCAGGGTCCCCCACAATTCAGTCATCATCAGGAGTCCATCAGACACCAGACATTTCTGGATGTATTTGACCAAGCTCAAATTTAAATAATTTGCCATGAAAACTGTAAGATAAAAAGTAACTTCAAAAATCCACAGCCGTGTAACATCATCCAATACTAGTAGCATATATAATTACCAATCTTATATAAAATTTACAGCCATGAATATTGAATAAAATTCAGAATGGCAGAGAAATGTCACAATATAAGCTCAGTAAATGTAACATGTTATCTTTACTATAATCTGAAATATAAATTAATTTCTGCTTTAAATACTGCAAAAACCTATCTCTAGGCTAAAGCTACTAAACTTCTGTCAAAAAAAATCAGACGGCCTGAAGCAAAAATAAACTCTTGGGACTATATCAAAATAAAAAGCTTCTGCACAGAGAAGGAAACAATCAGCAAAACTAAAAGGCAGCCTACAGATGGAGAAAGATATTTATAAACGACATATCAGATATAGAGCTAGTATCCAAAATCTATAAAGAACTTATCAAACTCAACACCCAAAAAATAAATTATCCCACTAAAAAGTGAGTGGAATGGGGCACCTGGGTGGTGCAGTTATGTGTCTGAGCCCTGGTTTTAGCTCAGGTCATGATCTCGGGGTTATGGGATTGAGCCCTTTGTTGGGATTCAAGCTCAGCAGGGAGTCTGTGTGCGATTCTCTCCCTCTGCCCCCCCAACACATGCATTCATGTGCTCGCTCTCTAAAACAAATAAGTCTTTTTTTTTTTTTAATGGGCAGAATGAACAGACATTTCTGCAAAGAAGACATCCAGATGGCCAACAGACACATGAAAAAATGCTCCACCTCACTCGGCATCAAGGATATACAAATAAAAACCACAATGAGATCCCACCTCACACCAGTCAGAATGGCTAAAATTAACAAGTCAGGAAATGACAGATGCCGGCGAGGATGCGGAGAAAGGGGAACCCTCCTGCACTGTTGGTGGGAATGCAAGCTGGTGCAGCCACTCTGGAAAACATCATGAGGTTCCTCAAAAAGTTGAAAATAGAGCTACCCTATAACCCAGCAATCGCACTACTGGGTATTTACCCTAAAGATACAAACATAGTGATCCGAAGGGGCACATGCACCCGAATGTTCATAGCAGCAATGTCCACAATATCCAAACTATGGGAAGAACCTAGATGTCCATCGACAGATGAATGGATAAAGAAGATGTGGTCCATATACACAACAGAATATGACTCCGCCGTCAGAAAGGATGAACGCCCACCATTTGCACGGACATGGATGGAACTGGAGATTACACTGAATGAAATTAAAGACAAGTACATAAAATCTCACTTATATGTGGATTTTAAGAAACAAAACAAACGAGCAAAGTGGGGGCGGGTGGGAAGGGAGAGAGACAGACCCAGCAACAGCCTCCTAACAACAGAGATGCACTGTTGGTTAGCAGAGGTGGTGAGGGACAGGGAAAACAGGTGAGGGGGATTGAAAAGTACACTTATCATGATGAAAAATAATAAAGTGATAAAAAAATCAGATTGCCCGTCAGTTAAAAATACAGTTGGTAATTATGCAAATGCCAAGTAAAAACATAGAATAAAATCAACTGCTTGACCCACAACACCTTGAAGGAGAGGATCTGAGACCTTCCCAGTTCTCCAGCCGTCCCAGCAGCACCAGTGATGCAGACTGCCACTTCTCACACCGTGCTTCCGAGCTTGTGCAGCCTGCCTCATCGGGATGCACAGCTCCGCGCATGGAGAAAACCCCATCTTCCTCTGAGTCTAGTGCTCTAGCCAATGAGGTGTGAGCAAGCGCGACCACGTCTCCTCCTCTCCTACCCTACTGACCGGGACGCAGACACTGAGAGTGATACTCCACCTCGGGCTGAGCAGAGGACACTACGTTCTTGGGACAGCACAGCCGCCACCCAGAATGTCCCTCCTTCCCGGAGCAAACTCACTACACCCGCTCAGGCTCCCAAGAGAGAAAAATGCATTTGTCTTATACAAGGTCTCAGATGTATGGCGCTAAACCACATCCTGATATACTGAGATTCCTCAACTATAACATGGGGTTAACATAATCCCTTTCTCTCAGATTATTGGAAGGATTAAATGTCTTCAATAGAAGAAAGCAGCACCTATGGGAAGGTTCTTGATCATCTACTAGGCTCAGTCTTCCCCTAAATAATGTGTGGCTTCTCATCAAACCTGAGTACAGGCGAACTCAGCCAATGACAAGGCGCTCACGGTACGTGGGCGGCAGGCAAAGGACAGGGTCTGTGCAGCTGTAACTTACACACTGTGAGTGAGAGCACGTGGGTTATTCTCTCTCTCCAGGTCCCGACTCCAGGATTCGCATCGCTTCCAGCCATCTTCTGTCTTAATCCAGCTCCATCCAGGAGATCTCCAGTCCTGACCCAAAAATGGCATAGTTCTCCTGAAAAGAAGTAATTTACATTAAAAACATATGTGCAGTTAACAAGTTTCCTTTCACTTAGAACATTTGTTAATTAATTTTAAAGAATAAAGTTCTTTTTTTTTTTTAAAGATTTTATTTATTTATTTGACAGAGAGAGAGATCACAAGTAAGCAGAGAGGCAGGCAGAGAGAGAGGGAGAGGCCGGCTCCCCACAGAGCGGAGAGCCCTATGTGGGGCTCGATCCCAGGACCCTGAGATCATGATCTGAGCCAAAGGCAGAGGCTTAACCCACTGAGCCATCCAGGTGCCCCAAAAATAAAGTTCTTAATACTTAAATGCCTAAACACACCCTAAATGCTCAGGATTGGCGGTCACACAGCACCTTGATGTGTACTAACTCATCAAGACTGGATATGCACTGGGGGACTGACTAGCTGGCCACTGCATAGGTCAGGACGGGCTCAGCAGAGCTACCATCTCAGCTCTTCCCCGCAGAGTCAGCAGGGGTCAGGGGAGGAGGAAGAACGGGAAGTATCACACCGGAGAAGATGCTCTTCACTAGAAACCAGAAGCAACGGAACACGAGACATTCTCCTGTTCTGCACTGTGTGCTCTTCAGTTTGGCTGAAGCTTACAGCGTGAGATGTTGAGAAGTGAGAACAGGGAGTGATCAGATCAAAGAACTGGACTTTCCCCTGAGGGCAGCAAGGGGCCTAGGAAGGGACTTCAGAACGTAAAGGATCCGATGAGAGTCAAGCCTTTCAGGAGCCTCGGGGGTCCCCCTGTGAGGAGGGAAGCTGGAGCTGGCCAGGATGGGGGTGGCACCGGAGGGAGGAGGAGTGAGGACTGGCGGTCACAGAACACTGGCCACCAGGTCGGAGTGTGGCTGCACTGGAGGAGAGAGAGTCTAAAAGCATTCAGGAGGTAGAGTCCAGGAGAAGACAAGGACTTCCGTCTTGCACGCTGTGTGTTGGGCCCTTGCGTGGAGCCCAAGGGACCAGGTGCCATGTGCTCAGCTAACCCAGGTAGGCCCACCGGGCAGGGCCACATGCCGCACTGGCTGGATGTGTGAGGGGAGACCAAAGACAGCCCAGGTTAGCTTCTGGCACCTAAGAGATGCTGATTTCAGTTTCGGACAGGCCTGTTAGCTTTGCTGAACCCATGGCGACAGGCACTGTCCTGGAAGCCACATGTGCCAATCCAGGTGTAAAAATTCTGACCTTAAAAATGAGGACACAGATATTATTACTTTCATAAAGCTCGCAATTTCGTGAGAGCAAGACCTCAAATACTAGCTCTTCCACTGCCTGGAGTGAGCTTCCTCTCGCTCACTGGTTCTCCACCCTGGCTGTGCGTTAACATTACAGCCTTGGAGGCTGTTAGAACATACAGTGTTAGCTTCACCCCAGACAGTTGAACAGGAGAATCTATGGGTGACAGGAGCACACAAGGGAGCTCAGCAAACAATGGGCAAACGAATGCATATACAGAGCCATGGCTCAGAAGAGAGAGGAAGGCCGGAGACCAGGACAGGAAACTCACTAGCATTCAGGTAGTAAGCAAAGCCACAGGAATGATACCACAGGCGAGAACACACAGAGCCAAGGGAAAAACCTCTAAGGGACCAGGACATTTGAGAGCCAAGAGGTAGAGGAGCCAGAAAGGGAACTGAAGAGGAAGAGCCGAAGAGGTAGGGGGAAGGGAGTAGGAAGCCAAGAGAGGAACATATTTTAAGAAAGGAATGACTGATGCAGAAGAATGAAACTGGACCATTTCCTTATACTACACACAAAATAGACTCAAAATGGATGAAAGACCTCAATGTGAGACAGGAATCCATCAAAATCCTTGAGGAGAACACAGGCAGCAACCCCTTCGACCTCAGCCGCAGTATCTTCTTCCGAGAAACATCGCCAAAGGCGAGGGAAGCAAGGGCAAAAATGAACTACGGGGACTTCATCAAGATCAAAAGCTTTTGCACAGCAAAGGAAACAGTCAACAAAAACGAAAGACAACTGACAGAATGGGAGAAGATGTTTGCAAACGACATATCAGATAAAGGCTAGTATCCAAGATCTATAAAGAATTTAGCAAACTCAACACCCAAAGAACAAAGAATCCAATCAAGAAATGGGCAGAGGACATGAACAGACATTTCTGCAAAGAAGACATCCAGATGGCCAACAGACACATGAAAAAATGCTCCACCTCACTCAGCATCAGGGAAATACAAGTCAAAACCACAGTGAGATCCCACCTCACACCAGTCAGAATGGCTAAAATTAACAAGTCAGGAAATGACAGGTGCCGGCGAGGATGCGGAGAAAGGGGAACCCTCCTGCACTGTTGGTGGGAATGCAAGCTGGTGCAGCCACTCTGGAAAACATCATGAGGGTCCTCAGAAAGTTGAAAATAGAGCTACCCTATGACCCAGCAATCGCACTACTGGGTATTTACCCTAAAGATACAAACGTAGTGATCCGAAGGGGCACATGCACCCGAATGTTTATAGCAGCAATGTCCACAGTAGCCAAACTATGGAAAGATCCTAGATGTCCATCGACAGATGAATGGATAAAGAAGATGTGGTGTATATATATACAACGGAATACTAGCAGCCATCAAAAGAAATGAAATCTTGCCATTTGCAATGATGTGGATAGAACTAGAGGGTATTATGCTGAGCGAAATAAGTCAATCAGAGAAAGACAATTATCATATGATCTCACTAATATGAGGAATTTGAGAGGCAACGTGGGGGGATTGGGGGTTAGGGAGGAAAAAGTTAAACAAGATGGGATCGGGAGGGTGACAAACCATAAGAGACTCTTAATCTCACAAAACAAACTGAAGGTTGCCAGGGGGAGGGGGGTAGGGAGACGGTGGTTGGGTTATGGACATTGGGGAAGGTATGTGATATGGTGAGTGCTGTGAAGTGTATAAGCCTGACGATTCACAGACCTGTATCCCTAGGGATAATAATACATTATTATGTTAATAAAAATTTAAAAATTAAAAAAAAAAGGAATGATTGAGAGAGGACAACACTTAACAAGCTAGTACAGTAAGAACTGAAAAGTATATATTGGATTTAGCCACAAAAAGGTAGCAGACAACTCAACCAAAAATACTTTCAATAATGTCATATTAATCTCAGGGGCACCTGGGTGGCTCAGTGGGTTAAAGCCTCTGCCTTTGGCTCAGGTCATGGTCCCAGGGTCCTGGGATGGAGCCCCGCATTGGGCTCTCTGCTCAGCAGGGAGCCTGCTTCCTCCTCTCTCTCTCTGCCTGCCTCTCTGCCTACTTGTGATCTCTGCCTGTCAAATAAATAAATAAAATCTTAAAAAAAATAATAATGTCATATTAATCTCACACCCAAGTAGACTTGGGGCATTTTGCTAACGTGGAATATTTCTAACAGAGTACCTGAGAGACAGAAATGTTCAGATATCATCTCCCAACTATATTTATTACAACTAACAAAAAACAGGCTATTAAGTAGACATTTATACTGGCTTTGAAGAAACAAAAAAAAATTAGAAGAAAATTCTAAGCCTTCAACAGTATTCCTGGGTCAACTCTTAAGTGCTCACTTCCTTAACGAAACTTGGTTTTCCAGGAAAAACATCTTTAACAGTCACATATTCATTCAAACTCTTATTTTATTTTTTTAAAAGATTTTATTTATTTATTTGACAGACAGAAACTACAAGTAGGCAGAGAGGCATAGGCACAGAGAGAGGGGGAGGCAGGCTCCCCACTGAGCATAGAGCCCGATGCAGGTCTCCATCCCAGGACCCCGGGATCCTGACCCGAGCTGAAGGCAAAGGCTTTAACCCACTGAGCCTTCCAGGCGCTCCTCAAACTCTTATTTTAGAAGACACTTCAGAATCATTATTTAAATCTCAGCACTATTTTTGTAAGTTTTTTTTTTTAAAGATTTATTTACTTGAGACAGAGCGCAAGTGGAGGGGAGTATCAGAGGGAGAGGGAGCAGACTCCCCACTGAGCAGGGAGCCCGATGCGGAACTTGATCCCAGGACCCTGAGATCATGACCCCGAGCTGAAGGCAGATGCTTCACCTGCTGAGCCACCCAGGTGCCCCACAAGTATCATCTTGCAGACTTGTTTCAAGCCACCAATCACCCTAAAATGCTGAAGCTACTACCACATCCAGTCAGTTGTTACCTGAAATTGTGTCCAACAGTATGCGCTCCTCCCAAAGAAGGCAGGTGCAAACCATGATGGAGAAGATGCTGCTTAAAATGCAATCTAGTCTCATAAAAACCGGACGAGAGAAAAATGTCTGAGGACCAACTGCGACAGTTGCCAACGTATCTCCCAATGTCATATATGGCGGATTCAGAAAAACCGGTATTTTTAAAAAGTGGCCAGCATGCAGAACACTGCTACCCAGACCAGATATAGATTACTCCAGTAACAGGTGAACACAGACCAGCGCGTTATTATGCTATATGTCCCTTCCCTGAAGGTATACTACCTAGTCCAAGAACTAAAAAGACAAGAGCCACATCTTCTTTATCCATTCATCAGTGGAAGGACATTTGGGTTGTTTCTATAGTTTGGCTATTGTGGGTAATGCTGCTAGAAACATCAGGGTACATGTACCCCTTCAAATCTGTACTTTTGTATCCTTTTGGTAAATACGTAGTAATACAATTGCTGGGTCGAGGTGGGGGATGCGCTAGGTGGGAGATGGACATTAAGGAGGGCACTTGTGATGAGTACTGGGTGTTTGATGTAAGTGATGAGTCACTGAATTCTACTCCTGAAACCAAAAATTAAACTGTATGTTAATTATAATTTTTAAAAATTTTGAAAAAATAGATAAGAGTAAATAAGAAAACTCACACAAATAGTATATGTAAATATACTTAAAAGAGATTTTACAGGGCGCCTGGGTGGTTCAGTGGGTTGGGCCGCTGCCTTCGGCTCGGGTCATGGTCTCAGGGTCCTGGGATCGAGTCCCGCATCGGGCTCTCTGCTCAGTGGGGAGCCTGCTTCCTCCTCTCTCTCTCTCTCTGCCTGCCTCTCCATCTACTTGTGATCTCTCTCTGTCAAATAAATAAATAAAATCTTTAAAAAAAAAAAAAAAGAGATTTTACAATGTATATGTATGTACTGAATGAGCAATAAAGGGAGAATAACTAAAAGAAATTCGGAATAAAAAGCAGATCATTTGGGACCTCTGAAGAAAAACCAGGGCACCATGCTGGCCTTAAAGCACAGCTAAATCTTAAGTGAATGGGAGACAACGGGGAACAAAATAGCAATCACAGAAACGGTGGGCACACAAACACATTGACACCTTTGAGAATAATAAACAGAACAGGTTGGCTGAAATAGAGAAATCTTTGGGAAGGCTGGCAGCCAGGTTGGAAAGGTGACTGGAAGCCAGATCATGGAAAACTTGAATGTCAAAGCTGTCTGGACTTTACTCTCCAAATAATTAAGAGTTTTTAGGCAACGCAGTGGTAGGAGCAGTGTTATTCTGAAGATAACCTGCCAGGTCCTGTGTGGTAAAGGGCATGGAGAACAGAGGCAGAAAGCACAACTCGGGGAACAGAAACCTCCTGCCAACAGCTCAGCTAACAACCTGTCTTAAAACGGGAGGACGCACCAACCCTGCCCTTGTCCATGTAGGTGCGATGCCCACTCACCACTTAAGACACTTCTACTCAGGCCTCCAAAGCAACATTTACGTGGAACATTTATGCGAAGTTTTCACGTGAAGTTAAGAGTCAGCTTAATGTCTCGAGTAAGATAATCAACTCTTTTGCAGCAACCCTTGTGAGAAATCACACGGTTAGCCTGAGCGCTCAGGGCTGCTTCTATTTATACGGGTTGGAAGCAATGAAGCCCAGCTCCACAGACCACGGAAACAAAAACAGAACATTCCCAAGGTTTCTATCTCCAACACAGATGAAAAGATCTGTTTTGCTGTAGCTGCACACACTTCATAGGTCTGACATAGGTTCTCTGGATCGCAATGAAGTTTATCTGAAATTATAATTCCATACAGTTCACGAACTAAGGCAGACTCTGGTAGAAGAGTTATCATAAGCAACAACAAAAAGCCATCAGGGAAAAGCAAGAAAAAAAAAAAAAGACAAGGCACAATTTGAAATGCCTGGGATCAAATTTTCAAAAACACTCCCAACCTGGGGCATCTAAACTCATAGATGGAAAAAACAGGACTACACTTCCGGAATGAGGAACAGCCCACCACTTTTATGGAAATTTATTGATCTGTCTTGCTAAAAGATCTGAATTGCTATAACTTTATAAGTTTTAATTAAAATCACATTTGTTTTGAAAAATTTCAAATACAAAAAATAAAGGCAAAACTTACTCCTCAAAATGAAGCACTTAAGAAAGCTACTCAAAGGGCGGCTACTCAGTTGTGCAATAGCTACTAGGATTTGCAATTTATGCACATTTCAGGTTAACTGATGTCAGCCAGCAAAGGGGCTAAAGTCTTACACACCCTTCCTTCATCCCACTTGCAGGAAGTGGGAGCACAGGACCTCCCCAGGTTGCCTGGCCCAGAAGAAATCCCAGGAGGAGAGACGCAGAACCAACCAAGAAACGTCTTCCTCCAGCGAGCATCCCTTCTCAGCTGGTATGATCCTAGCACACACTTTCGGGCTCTCAGTGGGAGGCAGGCATTCCTCTGAACAACTCAGCTGCACTATCTCAGCCCCCAACTCCCCCCCCCCCCCCGCCCCGGGAAAGACAGAAAATGCTACCATCCCATTTTTTTTTAAGATTTTATTTATTGATTTGACAGAGAGAGGTCACAAGTAGGCAGAGAGAGAGAGGAAGGGAAGCAGGCTCCCTGCGGAGCAGAGAGCCCGATGCGGAGCTGCATCCCAAAACCCTGGGATCATGACCTGAGCTGAAGGCAGAGGCTTTAACCCACTGAGCCACCCAGGCGCTGTGCCCCCCCTCCCCGGCCCTTTTACAGCCTTAATTCCCTTTTATAGAACCAAGTGCGGCCCAGCGTCTGGCGGAGCTGGGGGTCACATCTCTGGAGCGTCCGGGGCCCATGCTCTATCAATGTGTTTTTATAACATTTCCTGGGCACCCTGTGAAAAGGAAAGGTCCTAAAATGGTGGGGTTTTAAGTGTCACCTTATACTACATACGTCACTAATAAACACGGTCTAAAGCAATGACTGGTCTAAATATAAAAACACGAAGGACAACGTGCCGGCAACAAACTCTCATACACTGCGCAAGGCCACACGCCAGGACACGGGGGTGAGCAGACTCGGAGCCACCGTCAGGTCCGGGCTCCAGACGACACATGCAGCAAGTACAGAGAAGTCCGGCCACGCGCAGCACACCGGGTAAGAAGACGGCTACCGCGCCAGCACCCGTTCTGGGGTCAGCAAGAACACCTGGCACGCACGTTCCAACTGTCCCCTCGTTCCTTCTGTGTCAGTAAAAACTGACAAAACCCGCTTTGTGCTGTGCTGGGAAACGCCGGTCCCCAATCCCACCGCATTCCGTGTCCTCCAGCGCTCTCTCGGCCTCACAAGACTCCCGGGTCACTCGGGTCACTCGGGTCGGACGCGACCGCGGCCGCTAAGTGCGGAGGAGCCCGACCCCGAAGGAACAGCAGACACAGCTGAGCGGTGGCCAGGGGACGTGGGCTGTCCTGTAAGGGACCCGACGCGAGGCCACAGAGGCCTCACAGCGACGGACCCCCGGACCACGACGGGGAAGGCCACCTGAGGCGGGTGCGCGCTTCCGGGGGAACAAGAGGAGGCGTCTCCCGCTGGGGCCGGAGGATGCGGACTTGGAAGAAGCGAGGAAAGACGACTTCACGAGGAAGGCACGTGTTCTCTGGATCCCCGAGTTTTCAAACCCCCCGCATCTGGGTAGCAGAGGCCCACAGAGAGCAGCGGCTTCCAGGGAAGAGGAAGACGCACGGCCCAGGGTGGGCGGCCAGCGCCGGGAGGCAGGCTCGGCGAGGGCGCCCGGACTCCGGGCGAGGCCTGCGGAGGACGCTGGAGCCACAGAGGAGTGGGGACCAAGGGTCAGGCACACGGAGGGCAAGGGAGCCGCCGACCCGTACTGGGGACGCAGCTAGAGCCAAAGAGGAGGACGGAGGGCCAGGCACCGGGACGACGCTGGAGCCACAGGCGAGCGCGGCCCGAGGCCAGGCACGGGCAGGACGCTGGAGCCACGGACGGGGACCGAGGCCCGAGGGACAGGCTTGCGGAGGAGCTAGCACCGCGGACAAGGGCCAGGGGACCGAGGCCAGGCACGGGGAGGACGCTGGAACCGCGGACGGGGACCGGACAGCAGGTGGGACGCGGGGGAGGACCGGGGTCGGGCGGCAGGGGGAGGGGCGCGGACGGGGACCGCAAGGCGGAGGCGGCGGGTGTCCCGGGGAGAAAGGAGCTCGGAGCGCGCGGGGGCGGACACGCTGGCGGGAGGGGCCCGGGGAACCGTCGCAGGCCCCCGAGGGCAGCGCCCGCGGAGCGCGAGGCCAGGGCGCGGCGGGATCGCGGGCGCGCGGGGATGGGCGGCGGCCGAGGGGAGGCCGCGCCGCGCGGCTTAGGGCCCCCGGCGCGCCCCGGGCCCCCGACCCTACCTGGCGCGGGGAGGGCTGAGGGTTCGCCGTCCCCACCTGGAGCGCGCGCCGCCTCAGTCCCCGCGGGAGTGCAGACGCCCTCGGGCCCCACCTGACGGCGGCGCCGAGCTTTATTGCCGGAAGTCGCCCTCCGCCTACCGGGGAGCGCAGACCTCAAGCCCCGCCCTGGGCCGCGCCGATTGGCAGCTGCGGCTCCGCGTGGCCGTGTTGCTACCCGGCTCCCGAGGCCGCGGCGCGCGCGTGCGCAATGTGGCCCCGCGTCGCCGCCTCCTGCGCGTGCTCAGGGGGTGCGGGGGGAGCGCGAACCCGCGGGCGCGGTGCGGGGCGGTGTCCGCGCGTGGGCGGGCGCGCTGTGCTTACCTGCGGGCGTGCGCGGGACGCTGCGCAGGGCCGGGAGCCGAGTAGTCTTCCCGGCCGCGCCCCGGCTCAGCTCCGCTGACCCCGCCCCGCCCCAGTGCCCACGCCCACGCCTGCTCCGCGAAGCTACCTGAGCCTCAGTTTACCCCCGGAGCTCCTGCGCCCCGCGGTCGTCGGTCCCCCGCCGCGCGGCTCAGACATTCTCTGCGTAGGGACAGCTCGACGGTCCAGATCCCCGCGCGGGGCGATCGTCCGCGGGGGCCCGCTGGCACGCCAGGCCCCTCCGGGAGCCGGGATGTGGGTGTCCGCTGGCGGGGCTGGGCTGCAGGGTGGGCGTCGCGTTATTATTATTTTTTAAGATTTTATTTGTTTACTTGACAGAGAGCACAAGTAGGCAGAGAGGCAGGCGGAGAGAGAGGGGGAAGCAGGCTCCCTGTTGAGCAGAAAGCCTGATGCGGGGCTGGATCCCAGGACTCTCAGATCACGACCCAAGCTGAAGGCAGAGGCTTAACCCACTGAGGCCCCAGGCGCCCCTCGACTATACTTCTTGAGACTCAATGGGTGATTACAAATCGCACAATTACCCTTAGAAACTGGACATCATTGCTTACAGTTTTTCAAATGTGGCCCCTGACCATATCCCTGGTGTCCGAAGACGTGCTGGGTACATGCTGTGCTTCCTTTCAAGCAAAATTAACCTTCAGAATCGACCATCTTACAAAGTAAACTGCTATCCTTGGAAAGCAGTTTTTTCTTTGAATGAGGAGCTTCAGTTGTACATTTTTCCAATATACATTTTCTCAGTTCTGAGACACTACATGAAGCACGTAAGTCAGTAATGTAAAGTCAACTCCCATTGACTGATGTACAGTAAATTACAATCACTGTAATCAAGACATTGAAAAACCGCTTAGTTAGATCTGTGTTTTGTAAAACATAACTGTCCTAAAAATCTAATTTCGTCAAATTTATGTGAAAAAAAGTAGTGAGGGGAACTTAGGGTGTTCTTCACGCTGTAGTGCCTGGCGTGGCTGATGGCCCTTAGTGCATGGATCCAGTACGGCCTGGGCTGCAAACGTTTTCCTCTCAGGCCACTCACTTTGTGTTCACAAAGCAACGTTGCTGTCACAGCAGGAAAGCCGCCATATAATTCATGGACAAATGTGTGTGGCTGCTTTCTATTAAAACTTTATTTACAAAAAGATATTGGCTGAATTTGGCTGGGGCATAATTTGTTGACTCCTGGTCTAAAGATTAGAAATATTTACTTAAATCCATTCAACAGAATAGACACTATGCTAAGTAATAGGAGAGAATAATAAAAAAGATGGAATTTCGAGTTTTCCAGGAGACAATAGTTTCTTTTTTTTTAAGATTTTATTTTATTTTATTATTATTTTTTTAATATTGTATTTATTTATTTGACAGAGAAACACTGCGAGAGAGGGAACACAAGCAGGGGGAGTGAGAGAGGGAGAAGCAGGCTTCCCACCAAGCCGGGAGCCTGATGCGGGGCTCGATCCCAGAATCCTGGGATCATGACCTGAGCCGAAGGCAGACGCTTAACGACTGAGCCACCCAGGTGCCCCTAAGATTTTATTTTTAAGTCATCTCTACACCTAACATGGGGCTTGAACTCACAACCTTGAGATTGAGAGTCACAGGCTTTACGGACTGAGCCAGCCAGGCACCCAGGAAACAATGGTTTTGACTATTTAAATTTTAATTAAACTATTTGAAACAAAGTATTTGGCTACAAAATATGCCTTTGGAGGTTAAAAATGAGTCATACAATGAAAATAATTCCTCACTGGTCTGGCATAATACCTAAATTTTCAGACATACCATTCTTATGCCTAGTGATGTTGAACTCGCCTATAATATCCGTTCTGGAGTTTAGAGTTAGGATCTGTGGGTTTGCTACATCGGCATGAACTTACCTACAGTTAGAGGTTTGAACTACCTTTCAGTAAAAATGTGTAGCCCATGGACCCCAAAAGTTCTACAGACACTTTTTTCTGCTGATTAATGTTGTAAAATTATATTTTTGGATTTTAGTTCAAGATGGAAACACAGGAAGATCCTGAATTCCCCTCTTCCCACAGACACAGAATCTACAGCTCCATATCAACAGTTTCCTCTGAAATCAACCTGAAAACCAGCAGACTGAGCCCTACACATTGGGCAAATGCTCATGGAACACACTGAAGCAGGTTGGAGAGAATGAGACTGAATTTCAGTGTGAACCCACACCGGTGCAGAGACCCACACCCAGGAGGGAACTCAAATCCTGGAGATTCTTCCTGAGGACTGAAAGGTCTGAACCCCACATTGGGAACCCCAACTTTTAAGTCCTGGACCTGAGAGAGGAGCCCCCAGAACATCTAGCTTTGAAAAGTGATGTGACTCATATCCATGACGCCCATGAAGGTATAGAGAACTGAGAAATGACCCTTGAAAGGCTTATGTTCCTAAACCCACCCAGTGCAGAGCAGCCGACTGTGCCCAGACTGTACGTGAAGCATGATCATTTGCTTATATTAAATGTAAGACCATGGGGCAGGCACCTAATTAACACACGTGTACGGGAACCTGCTGGGAGACTTTCCAGGGACAGAAAACGGCGAGCACCATCTTCATGTTGTCCATGTCTTGCTCCAGCTGATGGGCACCATGTTTTCCTCTCCCAGTGGGCACCATTTGTACACTCCCGCTCTGCCTCAGTCCCACTGGCAGGTGCCATGTTGTGTCCCCTCCACTGCTGCGTTCCAGAGTGCCAGTATCTCCTGGCAGGCAGCCTTCACGTGTATCTGGTGCCCTGGCTTTTGTGGCTGCCCCTCAGGCACCTGCTGGACTGCCTGGCCTTGGAGACCATGGAGCCGTGCACTGCTAGGTGCTGTAACTGGGCTGTAACAATTGGGCAATTCTCGGCAGGCTACCCGCCTCAGGGTACTAACAGAAGTAAACTCAGTCAATCAATCAATTAAAATTAAATAGAGATTAAAAGGACGGTGGAAGGGCGCCTGGGTGGCTCAGTGGGTTAAAGCCACTGCCTTCGGCTCAGGTCATGATCCCAGGGTCCTGGGATCGAGTCCCGCATTGGGCTCTCTGCTCAGAGGGAGCCTACTTCCTCCTCTTTCTCTCTGCCTGCTGCTCTGCCTGCTTGTGATCTCTATCTGTCAAATAAATAAAATCTTTAAAAAAAAAAAAAAGGACAGTGGAAAAGACTGATAAAACCAGAGCTGGTTCTTTGGAAAGCATAAACAAAATTGACAAACATTTGGGGCGCCTGGGGGGCTCAGTCCATGAAACATCTGCTTTCAGCTCAGGTCATGATCCCAAGGTCCTGGGACCCAGCACACGTCAGCCTCCCTGCTCAGAGAGAGCCGCTTCTCCCCCTCCCCCTGCCCCCACCATGCTCCTGTGCTCTTACACACTTTCCCTCCCTTGAAGAAAGAAAATCTTAAAAAAAAAATTGACAAACCTTTAGCTGAGTCACCAAGAGAGAAGACTCAAATCAGGAAAGAAAGGAAAGAGGAAATGTTATAATCGATACCACAGAAATACAAAGGCCCTCAAGAGACTGAAATAAACATTTATATACCAAGAAACTGGACAACCTAGAAGAAACTGACAAATTCTTAGAAACACACAACCTACTAAGACTGAATCATGAGGAAATTTTAAAAATCTGAACAGACTGATAACTAGTAGGGAGATCGAATCAGTAATCAAAATCGCCCAACAAGCAAGAGTCCAGGACCAGATGGCATCACTGGCGAGTTCTGCCAAACACTCAAAGACACATTAGTACCAATCCTTCTGAAATGTCTCCAAAAGGCAGAAGAGAAGGAATCTTTCCAAAGAGCCTGCATTCCTGATACCAAAACTGGACAAGAATACAACAAGAAGGATCTCAGGCCAGTATCCCTGATGAACATAGATAACAAAAGTCCCGAGCAAGCTATGAACAAACTGAACTCAGCACCACGTTAAAAAGATCGTATGTCGCAGTGGGGTTTACTGCAGGGCGGCGACTAGGGTTCCACATCTTGGAGTCAGTGTGACAAACATGTCAACAAAATGAAGGGTAGAGATCACACGATGAACTCAACACACGTAGAAACAAACCGACAAAATTCCAAGTCCGTGTGTGATAAAAAAACTGCAACAAAGTGAACATCAGGGGAATATCCGGTATAACTTTGTGACAAGCCCACAGCTACCGTTACACACAGCGGTGAGGAGCCTTTCCTGTAAGATCAGGAGCAAGAAAGGGATGCTCGCCACCTCCATTTAACATAGCAGGGCTGTGCTGGAGCAAATAGGGAAGAAAAAGAAATAAAGGATACAAATTGGAAAGAAGAAATAAAAATTGCTGTTATTTGTAGGTGGCATGATATTACATGGAAAACCCCAAGACTCCATAAAAAACTATTAGAACTAATAAGTCACTTCAGTAAAACTGTGGAACATGAATCAATATATAAAAATATATTGCTTTTTTATATGCCAACAATAAACTATCAGAATGAGAAATTAAGAAAACAATCCTATTTAAAATTGCATCAAAAGAATTAAATACCTGGAAATAAATTTAACCAAGACCATGAGAGACCTATACTCTGAAAACTATAGGACATTCATGAAAGAAATTGAATACGCAAAGAAATGGAAAGATAGACGATCCTCATGGATTGAAAGAATTAATATTGTTAAAATG